TAAATTATTAGCATTTAAATAAACAACATTTAAATCTTTTCTTTAAAAGATTTTATTTATTTATTTTAGAAAGAGAGAGAGAGAGCACAAGCAGGGAGAGCGGCAGGCAGAGGGAGAAGCAGGTTCCCCACTGAGCAAGTAGTCCGATGCAGGACTTGATCCTAGGACCCTGGGATCATGACCTGAGCCAAAGGCAGACGTTTAACCCCCTGAACCACCCAAGTGTCCCACAACATTTAAATCTCTTAACAGAACTAAAAATTTTTTTTTCATAAGGGTACTGTTTTCTCATAAAAGAAGCAGAAAAGATTTATCTGTGACAAACATCATACCTGGCAGGGAGGAAGGACTGGGATTTTCTTACACTATCCCCAGGAGTGCAAATTGGTATAGCCTTTTGGATGACGATCTATTAAGACTTTGAACTGGATGTGTCCTTTGTTCTAGCAGATAATACTTGCACAAAATTTTTAAAGATATATTCATTTGTTCACCCTGCAAAGTCCTGGGAATATGCTATTAAATGAAACAGATGTGATTCCTCCCTGATAGAGCTCACAGTCAAGTGGTGGAGAAAGGCAACATAAGCAATCTGACTAAGAAAAAGCAGCTAACACATGGTCCTAAGCCTGATAGGCAAAGCAAATTGGGATGACTGATAAAAAAGATAATAAGGAAAAGAGTGCCCAAGTGTGGGGAGTCGGAAGGAGAGACCTCACTGAGAAGGTCGAAGAAGCTACCACCTGATGAGTGAGAAGAAGCCAGGCAGGAGAGAAAGAAACTGAGTGAAGGTCTAAGGCAGAAAAAGAGCTGAGGGTTTCTGGAGAACAAAAGAAGACACATGTGAGAGGGATGGAGTGTGGGATATGGTTGGAAAGGAAAGCAGAGTTGATCAGGCAGTTCCTTGTAGGCCTTGCCAGGCAGTGCTGCTTCTGTTCCAAGTATGCTGGAAGCCACAAACCTTTTACAGGTAGCAGTCAGGGTGCCGAGTGAGGGGTGGATTGGGCAAGAGAAGAGAAAGGAGCAAGAGCTCAGGCATCGTCCAATTGCCTGGTCTACATGAGAGATGTTAGGAATCTGGCTAGTGCAGAAGCCCATAGAAGATAAGAACCTGATGGATTCCGAATATATTTTGCAAATAGATCCCACCTATTCACTTTGATCTCCAGCAAACCACAAGAACCAAATCAAAGCTATTCCTAAAGAATGTTGGAGTGAGCATGATGTGCATTTGAAAAATTCCTCCTTCATGCTTATTACCTGACAAAAATACTCCCAGAAAGAAGCAATTGCCTAATCAGATTAAATCGAAGCAAAAAGATGTTGACCCTAGTCTGCAGCTTATATAAAAATTTTTTAGATATGCAGTCACCTATAATCACCCTTCTGAAGTTTGGGCTTCAATCAATATATGATAAAAACTACACAAATCTTTTTAAAGAAATAATTCCAGGAATTACAGAAACATAGTGAATCATGTTACACACCATCTAATAGAAAATCGGATTAACAGCTCTATTTTCACTAATTATTAAAGTGCAGACTCTTCTCTGCTGATGTACAATTATTACATTCTCTGACATTTCTGCATGCCTTCAGGTATGATTGTAATGGAAGAGGTCTGATTTCCATGACCTTGAACAACCAAGGGTGATGGGTCACAACTTTTGCAGGCCACTTCAAGATATACGTATAATTCTGTTACTGCATGATTTGTGGAACTAGTATCTTAATTCATGGATTTTGGATATTCAAGAACGATTAAATACAAGAAAGTAGTAATGTCTGACATATAAAATATATTACATACATGTTTCCAGTCAAAACAAACAAAAACCAGTGAAGGCAAAGTCTCATTAACATACTCTACTTGGTGAATAATAGAATTGTTATAGATAATAAGGGTTTAGAAATCACAGAAACCTCAGAAGCTACCGCCCACTTGAATAAATATTCATTCTTATTGCTTCACTCCTTATGCCGTGGTTCAATTTTTAGCAAACTAAGGAATGGTTTCTTTAGCTTTATAACCTGTGATGTGTCCTACTGTCCAATTGTTATATTTTCAATATGGTACATCAGTTGAACCACAATATACGCATACAACGGAGCTCCCTTCTAACGATTATGATTATTATTGTTATGATCCTCATTTCTATTTCAGCCTCTGGAGTAAGAGCCAGTTTTAAGTTGGGTTTAGGTTTCCAAAGCCATTATTCAGAGAGTAATAACTAACCACTCAACAGAAACCACTGGAAAATGCTCCCTTCTTTCCTTTTCACAAACAAATGAAATGGCAAGTGAAAACACTGCTTAGTCCAAAGGCATTATGCAAATGATCTCCCTTGCAGAAGTAACCTCCACTACCTTCTCATCACCATGTAAATCAGGCCCCAACAACATGTTTTATTACCTTACTAAAGTCTCAAATCCTCCAAACAAAAGGAAGTGTTGGCTTAAAGTATTGTCAAGAGCACATGGAAGATCAGAGAGCACTGCCTGCCTGTAGAATGCACAGTGGGATTTGTTGTGGATTTCTACAATCCTCCCTGACTGGGACAAGTAGATGGAGCCAGGTTGCAACAGGCCAAGTCGGGTATATTTCTTCCTACAAGGATGCCCACAGCTTTTACATACCACCTGATCAATAATCTGGAACTGGTATTTTAAAATACAAAAGTAAAATACTTCCTTACCTGTGTTCAGGTAGGGAAGGAGTGGAAGCCCCTAATTAATTAAAGTTGTCAAAGAACTGGAATTTTAGAACAGGTAAATCAGAACAAAGTAAACCATGTCTAGAATCTAGATTCAATGCAACTTATGGGTATGACTAGGAATATCATAATTCACTGTTATCATCTTTTTAATCTCTTTTGTCTTTATTTTTTTAAGATTTATTTATTTGAGAGACAGAGAGAGAGACAGCATGAGCAGTGGGGAGGAGGCAGAGGGAGAGGGAAAAGCAGACTCCCCACTGGGGCGGGGGGGTCAATCCCAGGACCCTAAGATCAAGACCTGAGCCAAAGGCTAGCTGATTGAGCCACCCAGGCACCCCTCTCTTTTGTCTTTAGTACAATATTTTGAAGAATTCCAAGATATTAAAGTATGGGAAAGAAAAGAATTCATTAAATTTTTCTCTTCTTTCCTGCCCCAAAGTTTACAATGTTATTCATAAAAGGCTCTGCACAACTCTTCATTGTACCACAAAAGCAGTCATTCGTAACACATAAACAAATGGGCATGTCTACGTTCCAATAAAACTTTATTTACAAAAACTTTATTACAAAACACAACATTTTTCTGGAGATGGATCTTGGTGATGATTGCACGGCAATTTGAGTATACCACTAATTCCACTCAGCTTTACACTTAAAAATGGTTAAAATAATCAATTTTGTTATGCATATTTTACCACAATTTAAGAAAAACAAGAGTTTGCCCACAAGCTGTTTTTTTCCCTAACTTTTATACTAGAAATAATTTCTGTCTAAAATACTCTGTGATTCATCAAAAACTAATGATGTACTATGTGTTGGCTAATTGAATTTAAATTTTAAAAAATTAAAAATAAAATAAAATACTCTGTGATTAAATGGTTTCCCTGAAATTAAAACGCTTCCAAAACCTGATGCACAAATACTTACAAAGATAAAATTGTTCTTCTACCAAAACTTTCTTTAAATATTCTGGAATATTTAGGGGCACCTGGGTGGCTCAGTCATTAAGCGTCTGCCTTTGGCTCAGGTCATGATCCTAGGGTCCTGGGATCGAGCCCCATATCGGACTCCCTGCTCAGTGGGGAGCCTGCTTCTCCCTCTCCCACTTCCCCTACTTGTATTCCCTCTCTCACTGTCTCTGTCAAATAAATAAATAAAATCTCAAAAAACATGTTTTGGGGCGCCTGGGTGGCTTAGTCATTAAGCGTCTGCCTTCAGCACAGGTCATGATCTCAGGGTCCTGGGATCGAGCCCCGCATCAGGCTCCCTGCTCTGCGGGAAGCCTGCTTCTCCCTCTCCCACTCCCTTGTGTTCCCTCTCTCGCTGTGTCTCTCTCTGTCAAATAAATAAATAAAATCTTTAAAATAAAATAAATATTCTGGAATGTTTAAAAGCGTTTTTAACTCTAGTGTTATAAGCAAACTAAAGTGGTATTAGTAGATTTTCGCCTATCCCCTAACTTAGGTTGGCGTCCACATATTTAGAAGTGCATAAATATATGGCAGCAAGAGGGTTTACTGCTCCGGAGGAAATGTTTTGAGTAATTAAAAGTGCACAAAGATAACCTTCACTAGGCAACCTACCGTTTAATTTATAAATTTATAAATGAAAAGGAATACAAGGGGAAAGATGTCATCTGATTATTATCAGGGATCTGGTTTTGCAATGCATTATTTATATATTTCAAATATCCAAGGCACCATGTAACTGTTTACTCCAATTTTATTCCTACTTATCTTCAGTTATTTCTAATTATTTTTTTGATTGTTTTCAATTATTTCTATTTTTTTTCCAAAACCTGTATTAAGAGTTGCTTAATGCGATGGTTTTCTACTTCGAATTTGTATGACTTTCAATAAAGTATATTATTACTTCACACTGACATTTCGCTTAACTTTCAATCTGCCCACATATATTCAGACTAAAAACAAATGATCTTCCACAAGTTAGGTTTTGGGGGATTTTTGTATGTTTTGTTTTGCTTCTCAGTTTTAATTGTAACCCTGAAGAAAAGCCAACTAGATTCTTTTTCAGTGTAGTCAGGACTAGCTTTGCACTTCCACACCATGATTAATTTATTATTCATCTGGGACCTTCAAGACAAGTATACCTTGTCTTCACCCTGTGGACTTTTCTTTCAGCTTCCAACAAAGGATTTCATTGCTTTTGGAATTGAGGTGTGTCTAAGTTTTTACCTGGGAGCAAAAATGATGCAAGCGTTTCTGGTGAGACCAATCCTTGGTTTAGTGTGGGGAAGAGCTGCATAACAGACTATCTGTAGACTCCAGGAAGCAGAGACGCTACCAAAGGGCTTTTCTTAGACATCATATGCAGACAGTTGGAAGGACTGAAGCAGCAGCTTCCTTGGATTTGTCCACCAGGGAAATCAGAGAAAATGACTTGGCTCCTTTTCAGAACATCAGCGGCTCTGGCTATTTTAATGGTAAGTCCAATTTTTTTTCAAATAATTGCAACTTTCCCTGTTTCCTTCCTTGTTTGATAATACTCTCTTTGATTGCTGAATCCCTCTTATAAATTCTAAAAGGAGTGAAGTGGAAATAAACATTTTGGAATAAAATCATAAAGATTACCAATTTCCTCCTTTGGGTGGTTTTTATTTTTTTTTTAAAGATTTTATTTATTTATTTGACAGAGAGAGACAGCAAGAGAGGGAACACAAGCAGGGGAAGTGGGAGAGGGAGAAGCAGGCTTCCCGCCTAGCAGGGAGCCGGATGTGGGGCTCGATCCCAAAACCCTGGGATCATGACCTGAGCCAAAGGCAGACGCTTAACGACCGAGCCACCCAGGCGCCCCTTGGGTGGTTTTTAAATGTTGTATTTTACATTGAAAAATAAATCAGAGAGAAATAGAATTTGAAAGTAGACATTTAGCATTTCTTTAGTTAATGAATTAAATAATCCTGATCTTAGATCTATTTTCCACAACACCTTCACTTTCTTCAAAGTAATGCTTTTACTCATCTTTCCAGTACACAAACTAAAACACATGAAAGAGAACCAGGTCTGTTTTCCAAGGTTACATATCTCTTAAGCATATGCTAAGAACTGTACGTGCCTGGTCTTGATACCTGACATGCTTTTAAAATAGACAGACTGTTGAATTAAAATCAAAGCAATGTTTGACTCTAGAGAAGTTGAAAGTTATTAAGAAAACTATGTTTAGCCATTATGTGCAAAAAATATCCCAACTTTGGGGGGAAAAAGACATATGACATTTTAGAAGCCATTTTTTTTTTATTCAGGAGAATAATACTTCTGTTGGTTGAGAAAGATTTATATAATGTTATCTAAAAGAGAAGTGGGACCTGAAGAGCTAAGCACTAGCCAGAATGTTACAGACTAGTTTGTTCCTTAACTATGTTGTTTCAGTGAAGGGAAAAAAAAAAAAAAGCCACAATTTTATCAGTTACATTAGGATATCAAAATAGTGACATATACCATAAATGAATATTAAAAAAAATTCCTAATACTAATTCCCACATCATAATAAACTGAGTTGGCCTAGGCACCAGTTTCCCTCACCTCCTCAACTAAAAAAACTGAGATGATAATTGGATTTCAAGAAGTTTCAGGGAGATAGATCTTTAGAAAGAACTTTCTAAAAATTAAAGGTGTCTAAAATTAGAATAGGCTGCCTTATGAGCCAGAGTTTCCCAGCTTCCCCTCTCAGGACAATGTCCAAACAGAAAATTGTTATCTTCCCTTCTGCTAGAGTCTATTTTTATTAAACAATGTAACAAATTGCTTTGGTTATCTAATGAGTTTATTTGACCCAAGAATGTTGTCAAGAGAAATGAGATAGTTGTATGATGTTCCCAACTTCCCAGATGGTCATTTCCAGACTAAACCTCAGGTAGCCTGATAATCCACATGTCCAAGCCAATGACCAACTCAGGAAAGGTGGCAGAGGGTGTCAGAAGGTGTCATAAGAGCACAGAATTGGAAGACCACAAGCGTAGGGGAGCTCTTTTCCCTGCTTTGACATAGACCATTCTCAAGTACCCCTCGGGTTCTACTAAGGGCTGTTTAAGTTAAGATCGTTATACTAAGGGCTGCTTCATTCATCTTTATATCCCTAGTGCCTCCTATTAATATCTCTCTTACAGTGGGCACACAGTTGTTTGAAAAATAAATAGATGAACAATTAAACAAGGCCTCTCTAAACTCTAACTTCCCACAGTGCCTTTATAATGCTGGTCATGAAGGAAATTATGAAAAGTAAGACATCTTCTTCCCCTTAGAAAATTTTACACACACACACACAAGCTATTTAAACAACAATATAACTTCATAGATAATTATTAAGCTGAATGGTCCAGACGTGCTCTGTCGAATATGGCAGCCACTGGCCACATGTGGCTAATAACCACTTAAAATGTGGTTGGTCTGAACTGAGATGTGTTGTTAAGTATAAAATATACATCATATTTTTGAAGACTTTGTATGAAAAAAAGAATGTAAAATGTCAACTTTTATGCTGACTACAATTAAAATTACAGTATTTTGGATATATTGGATAAAAAATATATTGTTGAAATTAATTTCACCTTTTTAAGCTTTTTAAATATATGAATATTAGGGGACGCCTGGGTGGCTCAGTCAGTTAAGCATCTGCCTTCGGCTCAAGTCAGGATCCCAGGGTACTGGGATCTAGTCCTGCATTGGGCTCCTTGCTCAGTGAGGAGCCTGCTTCTCCCTCAGCCTAAAGCTTCCCCTGCTTATGCTCTCTCTCTTTCTCTGACAAATAAATAAAATCTTTAAATACATAAATAT